CCCCATGGAGGAGGCTGTGCCTGTGGGCCAGGGGGCCCCATGAGACCTCACCCCACTTCTCCGAGTCTGCCCTACCCCATCAGGGCCCACATGTCGTGGCAGCTCACCTGCCCTCTCCTGTCCCGGGGCAGGCGGTCATACCCTCTCCCGACTGTGCCAGACCAGGATGTTCCCATCTCCCCCAAGGCTTCTGCTCCGGCTGCCACCTGACCCTTCCCTGCACCCCTGTCCCACCTCAGCCTGCAGCCACGGACATGACCTTAGGGCCACGCTGAAGGACAATCAGTAGGCTGGGTTGAAACACTAGGAGGGAATCCCAGCTGTGGCCCAGGTCTTCTTTGTCCCGTAGGTTACTCCCTCATGAACGAGGACTCAACCCTTTTCCTTCTGTTACTGTCTTAACGGCCCTCTAACCACAGCCCCTGGAAGCCTCAGTCGGCTCCACGCTGCTGCTGGAAAACTCCCAAAGCCCAGGGCAGATCAGGTCCTTTAGTCCACCTCCATCCAAAAGGAGGCCCTCTGTCGACTCCTCAACATCCATTCCACCCCCAACCTGGTCATGGTCCCTGGCCGCTCCCCCTACACCACAAGGCTGTCCCCTCAGCAAGCACCCTCTCCCGTCTCTCTGTTTCAGGATCGAGCCCTTCCTCCTGGGGCAGGCCCCAGTGACACGCGTGCACGCACACACACACACACACGCGCACACTTTCTTTTTCGTCTATGAGACTAATTTAGGATCAAATACCTCACAACCCTTTGGATTTTAATGAAGTATTAGTGAGAGGCTGGTTTGGGGCTCCCTAACAGAGAGGAAGGGTGTAAGTGTCTGCTCTGGATGACACAGGAACACCATAAATGAAGACGAGGAAACCCACCTCAGTCCGTTGGCTAGGTTTCTAGAACTCCTATCATAAGCCACAACCTTGGCCATATGCGGATGGACTGTTATTTACAGTCCAGCAGCGAACTTCCTGGTGGAGTAGCAGCACAGTCTCTCTCCTTCCAGCTGCTCCTCTTAGCAGTTCCCTGGCCCACCTAGACCATCCTGCTTTCCTTCTAGAGACACCTATTTAGCTATGAGGAGGAGATTCGTGGGGGCAGGGGGAGGCGTAGCTACAGGTAAACAGGATTTAGCAACAAAATGAACAGTCGCAGAAGAGAAAGTCAGAAGGGTCAAAGGGAAAAACATTTCATTTGCACAGCATTTCTCCAATCACAAATTCACATTTACGTTTGACTGTTTTTCATGGTCCTTGTAAAATGGGGGAGGGTCTGGGCAGAGTCATTCCCTCTCTCATCATTTTTCCCTATGTTTCATGATTCCTGAGGAAGGCACTTCACTGAAATCCCTCCAACGGGATCGTCTCAAGCTGCACAGAATTTACTGGAAATAACAGCCAGAGGGGGCATCCAGCATCCTCAGTGATGGCAGACTGTTCTCAGTACGCACAGCATGTACAAGACCGATGTCCAGGTTTTCCTTTGGTTTTTCACTCATGTCTCTCCTGAGAGGACAAGGTCTCTCCAATGGTAGCATGTCTGAGATGCCAGAAGAAACTGAGCAGACTGCTCGTGAAATATATAAATGTGATTCCGACTTCGTATGGATGAAATCCTGTGAGGTTGAAATGAGCACACCCTCTGTGAGCAAGGTTTACTCCCCGAGTCTGGCTGTGATCTGCTGCACGGGTCTGGATCAGGGGAGATGGTGAGGCCACACCCAGTGCTCCTTTCGATGTCCTCCATGGTCAGTCCTTGCTTCCTGTGCACGTCAAACACGGCCTCCTCAGTGGTGATGCTGTTGCGCACCAATTCCACCAGTGGCATCATGCATTTATCCAGAATTGGGGGTTGGCGGCCTCGATGCGGTGCTCCATGGTGACCACGACCCTGGTCTTGGTGCCAGACACCATCACCCACACACCATGCCTTTCACCTTCTCTTGTGTATCATCCAGTCGGCCAGGTGTACATATTTGGAAACCCGTATGGCTCCAAGCAGGTCAGGTGCATGCCTCCCCCTCGAATCATGTTGAATAAATCATCACTGGAGACAAAACAGCCATTAGGAAGAACGCTGACTCTCTGCTTGCCTGCATTGATGAGATCTGCATCCACCTTATCTTTTAATGGGAATGGACCCAAGCCCAGGATCCCATTTTCACTGTGAAGATGAACATTACATTTGGGCTGATGTAGTTGCTGGCCAGAAGAGGGATTCTGATGCCCAAATGGGCATACATGCCATCCTCAAATTCAAGGGCTGCCCGTTGGGTGAGGCATGACCCTTATCACCTGCAGGCTTGGCTTGTCCACCTCCCTCTTTCCAGAGAGTTAAGCACTCCATTCTTTCCTCATATTTCCCCCTGTACTAGTGGGTCTACATAAGTGCGTGGATGTCTTCCGGAGCAAACAAGCCCACACCCATGATTCCTGCAGCCGCCACCACGGGGTTTCTGCAGCCACCACGGGGTTTCTGCAGCCTTGCACACAGGCGCGCTGAAATTCCGGGGCTTCGCCTGAAGGTGAGGTGCCGCGCAGGTCGGCCTCCAGCCGATCTCCAGCGCTGACTCACGATGGCCATGTGCCGTCCTCGTAGGGCCTGACGGGCGCGCCCCTTCCCGGACCAGGGTCCCTAGGCCTCGGGGTGCAGAAGGCGGTCACCGGCTCCGCCTGCGCAGATGTGCTCGGCCAGGGTGCCGCGGGGCGTCGGCTCCAGGTCCAGGCCGCCCGCCGAGCCCTGGGCTCACACAGCGGGGTCTGCCCCGCGAACGCCCCTGTCAGGCTCTCGGGGATCCGCGGAGCCCGGCGCCCCGACCACGGCCTCCGCGCCGTCGGAGGCGTCCTCACGGCCTCCACCGGGGTCGCTGTAGGACCTGGCGCTGCCCGAGCGCTGCTGGCCACGCCGCACATGCCTCGGCCGGCGCGGCCCCGAGCGGCGGCAGGGAGAAAGCGCCCGAGCGCCGCCGCCGGCAGCCGGAGCTCCGCCTCGTCCGTTCCCGCTCCCGCTCCCGGCTCCGGGCCTGTCGCCGCGGCAGGCGCCAGGGCGCGTCACAGAGCAGGGAGGGCGCCGGGCGGGAGCGCACCGGCCCGCGGGTGCCCCGTCACGGGCCTCGGTCTCGGCGCTGCGAGGGGCCCGGGCCTCCCGGCCCGACAGGACGGACGGAAGACGGCGGGACCAGGCCCCGGACTGGAGGGAGCCGGGAGGATTCACTCGGGGAATGCTCGGCCCTGCAGGTCCCCTTCCGTCTGCAGTGCTACCTCCCTTCCCCAGGGACCCGCTCCAGTGCCATGGCTGGACACCCACTAACGTCGCTGGTTCCCACGTGTGTCTCCAGCTGTCCCGGATGCGTTTCCATATGGACGCCTAGCCGAGCTCTCAGATTGCTGCCGAAAGGACAACTCTTCATCTCCCACCTCAAGCCCGTCCGTCTTTTCCCCCAACTCAGGGGGAAAAGAACCGTTAGCAAACCCACTGGCTCACCCACATTGTCCTTGGTTCCTCCACCACAGGGCTCCATTTCTGCCGGCTCCCCACCAGCCACTCACAGCTCTTGGCTGGACACCGCGGGGCTCTCACCGCCTCTCGGGACTTCAAGCATGGCCCCCACAGTCCACTCTCCCCCCGAGGTCAGGGGGTCTTTCTTTTATATATACAATAAGTAAAGCTTTCTAAAAAATAGTTGAGATTTACAGAAAAACTGAAAATATTGTACAGAGTTCCCATATACCCAGACCCAGATCCCCTGGGAAATGTTACACTTAAGGTCCTATGGTCCATTTGCCACAAGGAACGAACCAAAACTTGTATCTTATTATTAAGTAACACCTGGATTTATTTGGATTTCATCAGTTTTGCCCAGTGGTCTCTTTCTCTTCCAGGATCCCATCCAGGGTCCAAATGGCATTTAGTCATTACAACTCCTAAGGTACCTCGGGGCTGTTATAATTTCACAGAGTTTCCTTGGTTTAGATGACCTTGACCACTCTGAAGATATTCTGTAGAATGTTCTTCAGTTTGGGTGTGTCTGATGTTTTTCTCAGGGAAAGACCGGGGTTGTGGATTTTGTAGGAAGACCGCACTGGTGGAGTGCCCTCCCCACCCCATCTCACCAAGGGCACTGGGGACCCACAGGACTTAATCACGTGGGCCCTGATCACCTGGCCTAGGCGGTGCTGCGCAGGTTTCTCTGCTGTAAAGCTACTTCCCACCCCGTCCATACCGTACTTTGGGAAGCCAGTCACCAAGAGTGGCCCACACGGAGCGGGGAGAGACGCTGCACCTCCTGGACAGGCAGGTCTCCAAGGGTTCTTTTTAAAAAGCTGGATGAGACCCTGTCATCCTCTGTTGCTGTTAAATACAATAAGCTTCCCTAGAAAACCAACACATTGCCTGGTTTACTGAACTCAGAAACCCCCTGCCCACCTGTCCACCTCCTCTCCTCCCTGGCCTTCTTTGCTGCAGCCATGATGGCTCCTGGCCAAAGCTCAAACACACCAAACTTGTGCCCACCTTCAGCCTTTCTATCCCCACCACCTGGGATGAAGGAGGCTCCTGCACACACCTGTGAATGAATGAATGCGTGAATCTTTCCTCTACAGGTGAGAACCCTGAAGCCAGGGAAGGTCAGTAACCTGCCAAGGTCACCGAGTTAGGAAGCTGCAGAGCTGGGATCATACCCAGGCCTCTCTGATCAGCCCTGAGGGTGCAACCACATCCCTCCCGCAGAGCCCAGCCCTGACGCTTCCACTGTAGAGGCTGCTCCCAGAGTGAACGAACCACCGGACTGGGGAGGGAAACCGTGAATGACTCAGACCCTCTTAGCAAAACAAATGTTGGTTTTGCAGAGGAGCAGAGGGAAATGCCCACAGGCAGGGGGCCCCTGGCTGTCCTGCACTCAGGGAATCTTACCCCCTTCACCCACAGGCCTCCCAGGTGGGGAGGGGATCATCCCCCCAGTGGCCAGCCTTGGAGGAGCCCCCCGGAGAAGGTTCACTGCCAGACCCCTGAGCCTTACCATCCTCTGTTTCCACGTAGAGGCGGAGTCCCAGGTCCTTGTTAGGGTTCAACGACCAGTGGTCACTGGCTGCTGTCACGTCCAACACCAGCCAGCCCTCGTCCTCAGCTCGGAGCGTCTGAAGATCCAAAAAGAACAAGTCAGACTCCCTGTGGACATGAAAGAACAATTAACCGAGGGCCGGCACAGCCGCCTTTGTGTGCCCAGGGCCCTCCCGGGGGACCGTTAGTGGGCGTCTGCCATGCCTGGCTTTGGCCTGGGCGCCTTATGTGCAGCATGTCACTGTATCTGACATAGGAAGGTGTTACTGTACCGTGTGCAGAGGGGAAGCTGAGGCTCTGGAGCTCAGTGACCTGTCCAAGGTCCCACCCCTAGGATAGCTGGGAGGGGGCTGGACAACGGGACTGAGGCTGGGCCTTTCTCCGTGGTGCCAGGGGACTCATGCTCCCCAGGAAGCTCCCCTTCTGTCCTCTGGGAAATGTCCACCCAGGCCTGAGCCAGACACACTGAGGGAGGCCTGACCAGGGGCAGGGTGAGGAGCAGGCACCTGTTGGACTGCTCCCTGACCACCTCGAACATGCTGATGTGGAGGGTCCTGTTGAGCGGGTGGGTGCTGGGCAGCTTGTAAATCCGGAACTCGGCGGCTGTGACCTCCTCCCCCACTGGGATCTGGGTCAGGTCAAAGCGAAACTCCTTCCAGTGGAGCTCCTGGTGGCCCAGGGCTCGGTTATGCTCCACTGCAAGACAAAGCAGGGGTGACAGTCACTCGTGGTTCCAGGCGCAGGCTTCGGGGTGAGCAGAGCCAGGTGGGAGTGGGGCCTGGGCAGCCTCGGTGGTGCCGCACTCTCCTCTGCAAACAGGTTGCTCCCAGGCTCCGCCTCCAGGTGAGAGAGGGAGTGGCCAGGCCGTGCAGTGAAGTGCCCAGCACAGAGCCCAGCACACGGCAGGTGCCAGCATGGGAGCTTCCACTTCTGGCCTCCAAGCCCTAACCCCAGCCTGCCCCACTCAGACCCCTGCTGGCTCTGGGACCCCAGTTGAGGCAGAGGACAGATCCCTTCCCTGGGGAGAGGGACATCAGACCAAGGCAGGAAAGGCCACAGGGGGGCAGGGACAAATGTGAGTGCATGGCCGTGGGATGGGGCAATTCCAGGGTCACCCAGGTGCGTGGATGGGAGATGGGGGGAGACTGCACTGACACTGGAGCTGCAGCCAGAGGAGTGACTGTGAATTTGCCACGAGGTCAAGGGATTAGGACACTGGGAAGGAAGGGACCCGCGTGAGCTGAGGAATGGACGGCATGCACAGAACACTGCAAAGGGCAAAGGGCAAAGGATGGCAGATCCCTTTGGAACAAGGTGAATGAGGAAGGAGGGTGGGGGACAAGGAAAGGAGCAAGAGGAAGCAAGGTGGGAGTGACAGCACCTGGGGAGGCCCGTTCAGGTGCTGCGGAAGTTGGAGGGTCTCAAGGCATGGTGGGATCTGAGAGGCTTCCTGGAGGACATGACACCTAAACCAGCCTTGGCGGATGGGACAGAGTCTTGGCAGCTGGAGAAGGTGGCAGGGGAGGGCATTCTAGGCAGAGGGGACCTCACACACACAGGCGTGGGTTGAGAGGGCGCCCCCAGATCAGAGGTGTGGGTCAGGAGCGTGAGGGCTGTGCCCTGGATGCAGAGGGCTCGGCTTATGTCCTAGGAGGGTGGGCTGTGCCTATGGCCGGTGGGGGTCAGGGTTCTGGCAGCAGGGGAGTGATGTGGTTTGGGGTGAAGCTGGAGATCCGCAGGGAGGAAAGGTAATGAGCATTACACAGGAGGAAAGGGAAGCCCAGGCTGGGGGTCCCAAGCCAGCTGTGTGGCGGGCCTGGTGTAACAGTCTGGGGAGGAGGTGGTGGGTGTGGCATGAACCCCACATTACCCAGCTGCCCAGAAACGCCCAGGACAGTGCATTTAGGGCTGTCTCACTTTGGCCTCCTGTCACTTTCAAACAAATCTGTGTTTCCGGGAAGCGGGTGCAGGAGCTGCCCAGCACCTTGCCCAAAACCCAACACCGAGATTTTAATGACATGTCTGTGAGTCTTTTTAAAGACTCTCTCTCTCTGGCTCTCGGGCTCAGTGATCATAAGTCCCCAGGCTGGTGGCGGAGGCGGATGTGGGGAGCACTTCCTGTCCTTGCGGTGGGGACCTGGTCCAGTGACGGGCAGGCCAGCAGCTGTGCTGGGCGGGGACAGTGGACACACATTTAGGCAGAAGATGGGCTTTTCATCCCCGGATCCAGGAGGAGAGGACACAGAACATCCAGCCTCCAGCGGGATCTGGACATGCAGGAAGTGCCCACCCGACAGCCAGGCTGTTTCAGAGGCAGCGTGACCCGGGTGGGACCCGGGTCCTCCCGCACGGGCAGAGGGCATGGAGGGCAGGGTGCTGGACCTTCACCAAGTGATGCTTGCCATGAGCATTACACAGGGGCTCCTCCTCCCTAAACACACACACCCACCCGGCTTTGGAGACAATTTCCGTGGATTCCAGGGCACGCAGACCACCTCAGATCTTTAGGGTGAACTTGGTAAAGGCTGTTGGCTGTCACAGGGTGCAACACCGAGTGAGGAAGGGGGCTCAGTTACTCCCTTGGCCCGACTCCTCTCAAAGCTTCATTAAGTGTGTTGCTGCCCCAGGCACAGCGGGGCAGACAGCTGGGTCTGGGGGCTCCCTGCCTGCAGACCTGATGCTGATTTAATGTTGCATCTGGGGACAAGGAACAACCTGTGAACCTGCCAGCTCCGTGCAGGCACCACACTCTGTGGTCTCCTGCCCTTGATGACCTGGGGCCCACCTGCACTGGGTTAAGAGAGCCTTGCTCTGCTGACCCCAGTTCCAAACTTCCATCCTGTGGGTTTAAGAAATTGATAAACCACCAGGAGTTCCAGGCTAGGAAACTGCCCATCCTGGTGGTTCCAGGCAAGCACTGGAAGGCAGGATATTTTTAGGAAAATAATGCTTTTCATCAGAGATTGACAAAACTTTCTGGTATGGAGCATTAAACTAGATGTTACTGTAATGTCCATGGGGACTGCCTGCCTTTGCTGGAACTGTGAGGATTACAGCTTTTCAGTGGTTGCCCTTTTAGATTAGGAAAGATTATTTGTCAAAAGCTGGTGTTGCGCCATTGGATTTGTTGGGTCCTGGCGCCCCCCATATGGTAGTTCCTGGGCAGGCTGCCCCTCCTTTGGCCACTAAAACAGCACTGAAAAGTGTAGATACTCTGGCTTGTAGCTGGTCCCAGGCCAGGTACTAGCCACCAGGCACTTTCCCTGTGTGGCCTCAGTGTCCTCATCTGTGAAGTGGGGATACTAAGATCCTGTCCACACAGGGCTATGAACAGGTGTGTAAAGGGCAGGGATTATGAGATGGGAGCAATGGCCATTTAGGAGCTGGGAAGAGCGCTGACCTCTGATTTCCTAGCTTCATCGATGTGCCAAAGTTGATGACATCCTGCTAGAACCATCAGGAGTTTCACATGTGAAACTCAAGAGCCATGGTGGAGAAAAGGGGGACATTCAGTTCTCTTTTTCTAAATAAAAGTATGCAGTGAAAGATGATGTAACATCATAAAAACATATCGGTTCAATTGAAAGGCATTTGGACGACTTCAAGGCACCTCCTTTTCCCGCCTGACCTTTGTCAAGGCACTTGAACTCTGGCCTCAGCATCCACACCTGCACAATGACCATTTGATACAGAGTCAAATCAAACTGTAAAAAGCAATTTTTGCTATTAGAAGCAAAGGCTTCCAACGCATTATTCAGGAGAGTGAGTGTACCTTCATGCCCAGCCTCCACCTTTCCCTGAAATCACGGTCTGGAATCTCCCAAAGATGCCCAGGCTCGGCTACGCGGTCCCTCAGCAATGCCGCTGGGGCTGCTCCCTGAGCTCTGGCTCAGACACAGAGCAAAAACGAACCCTTTCTTTATGAAAGTGCTGATGATTCCAGAACATCAGAGCTCAAAGGTCAGAGACCACCAGGCGCAGTTTCCTCCTGCTTCCATACCCACATCGAGACAGACCCCAGGGCTCCTGCCTCCCACCTGAGCTCCTGCCACTACATCTGGGTGGACCTGGCACTGAATGAACTGCACAGAAATCACATTGGAATTGGCCTCTTACTGCTTTCCACCCGCTGCTATTGACTGATGGTCCCCAGATAATTTATGGGAAAGGTCAAGGTCTGTGCAACGTGATTTCTTGGGTTTTCCCAGTAAAATTTTGCTGCCAGTGGGGGGGGGTTGGGAAGTTCATATCCTGGTTTCCTGGCTGATTCAGACAGGCTATTGGGGGACAGGGGGTGCTCCCTGTCTGGCCTGTGGCTGGATCCCAACCATCTGAGATATGTACTGCCAGAATCCTCTCTCCACAAGATAACATCACTTTTAAAAGAAGCAAGATGAACAGTACAGATAATTTGCCTTTTACCTAAGAAAGTTCAAAATATAAATATTATAAAAATCCATATATGTCATACATACATATATACATATATATGTAATTGTATTTTTAAAGCAGAGAGACAAACTACCAACCAAGAAATGAACTTAAAGAACAGTTACCTTTGGGGTAAAAGAGAACAGACACAGTATAGGAGCTGGGCATGGGAGCTGGGCTTATCTGGATTTTTTTTATTTTCTAAATTTTGTAAAGATTTCCCCTAAGTATGAAACAAAATGGACTCAAAATGCAAAAACAAAGAGTGATACCTAAGTCTCAAGAGCAAAATAAAGTAAATAAACAGTGTGTTGGCTTTTGGTGGCTTAAGCACACAGGAATTATTTCAAGTGATTTTTAAAACACAGTAATTCATACACAGCTTAAGGACAAAATAAACCATAAACTGATCTTAATTTTTCAGATCTTAATAATATTATGATGATGATGTTATTCTGTCATTATTACATAATACATATAAATATAATATGTAAAAACAAACATATACTGTATATACAATAGTTACACAATAACATCATCGTCATAATACTGTAGGATAAAGCAAACAATATGTGACTGTTGCTAGGACTGAGTTATTTAGTGTAAAAGAAAATAGAAATATGAAATCCAAGAATTTACGTAAAAGCCTATAATCCTGACTTTGAACTGGAGGTTAAGTTTCAACTCACTTTTTTTCTTAGAAAATACATATTCCCTAGCTTTGTCCGCTGAAAGAGCCTAGCAATGATGGCCAGGCAGGGACAATGGGGGCTCTAATGCCCAGGCTGTAGTCCCAAAACACCAGCTCTAAGAGGCACAAGGGCTCTTGGAGAAATGGCTGATGTCTGACCCGGGGCAGGGAATGCATTAGTGGAGCCTGGAACATCTCATACCAGAAGGCCAGGAAGCTCTCAGAAACTCCTAGGGGAGAGGTAAAGGTACGCAGAACCCAACTTGCAGAGGCTTCATAATGGCCAAAGGACGGGTAACTTGAGCATCAAAGAGACAAACAACTGCAACAAATTCAAACACATTACATACATGTTAATATCATCACCTGGTCACCTCAGGCCGGGATTTCTCAGCGTTGGCATTTCCGACCTTTTCTAAATTGTTAAGTCTTTGTTGTGGGGACTGTTCTGTGTCCTGTAGAATGTTTACCAGCATCCCCAGCTTCTGCCCACTACATGCCAGGGGCACTGCCTTCCTCTTCCCACTTGTGACAACCAAAAATGCCTCCAGATATTGCCATATGTCCCCCTGAT